TGATATGAAAAAATCTCATATCGCCCAGCTCTACTCTGGGTCATACATCTCTTTACTTTCAGCAGAGAAACAGGTGCTGCCACCAAACTCCCTATGATAAGCTATCATCACAATACTTGACTTACATTGCAATAACATATACTGCAATTTATCAGCTCTTTTTTTAAATTTCAAAGCCTACTTCAACTAACTGGATAAAACATATCAACAAACCTGCAACACCCCCAAGTTTTGGGCAACCATTTAGTCACCAAGAATAGCAATAAGTCGTGGTTGTTTTTTTTAAGAAGGTGGCTGTCCTGTTTTTTTACTGGTGGGATGGAGACATTTGCTTGCTCTGGATTAGGAGGCAGCCTTGACAGGAGTATCCGGTGTTGGATGGCTTTTCAGTCGAGCTGACTTTATCTCAGTTTGGTCAGCTATGAACCAACACTGTCACTGTAAATTAATATCCCAATATTTTATTTAAATAAATAATGTTTGTCTATTTGATGAGTCGCTAACAACCCTACTTTAATGGACTGAAATAATCTTCACACAGTTCAAGGTGTACAAGTACCTTCTTGATCGAGAGAAGGATCTCGAAGGTTTGTGGTTCCTGTCCCGGGAGAGGGACCTCTCTCTCCTCCTGTCTCTGGAGAAAGACCTGAAGAAGAAAAACATCCCATTATAAAAATTTTATAACTTTTTTAGAAAATTTTTTTTTTAAAACAAAAACAGTTTAACCAAAAGTTAGATATATTTAAAAAGATGGTGGTTTGCTTTCAAATTACATTTAATTTAGTGTAAAGATGCACGTAAACAAGGTCTGAAATCTGTAAACATGAATATATTAAGTGTGCATATGTACACACTCAGTTTTCACTTAGTGTAAGCCGACTCCACTTTGCCTTCCACATCATATCAATTAGCGCAGAGCTTACACTGCATCACCACAGAAACAGCAACAAAGGTTCAAACAGGCTGTAAAGTTAAACAAGCACCTATGCAAAAAACATTTCAGCTTCCACGCAGGTCAGGTTTAGCGCAACACTTGTGCATCACATTTGTATGCTACAAATAAAACACATGCATACACAATGCTGAAATTATAGAGTTAATCTCATGCAGCGTGAAAGATGACTTGCCTGCTACGGCTGCGGCTGAAACTCCTCCTGCGTGGGGATCTGCGCAGGGAAAATACAAACGTGTTAAGGACGAAGACAGATAGATTGATCACTGTGTAGAGCTCCACATTATTTACTCCTTTTCTTACACGGGGCTCCCTCAGCACAGCCCTTTGGCTATTTCAAGAACTCAAAATGGAAGTAAACGACTTTCATGTTTTTCCAAGGAAAACAAAGACTTCAACCAGAAAACAGAAGTCACTGGCAGTGGACCCAGCACATAAAGATGGTAGGTGCAGAGGAAACCACCTCTCACCTTTCCCACAGTAACACATGCACCTTTCAATAAAGTCCAATTATATTTCAGTCTAACTTTGAAATGCAGATTAGGATTCGTCCCGTGATTCATAAGCAGTAGGTTCAGAGCTCCGAGGCATGAAACCCCAGCAGGATTTTCATCTTAAGGTAGTTTGATATCGTACTGTGGATCGGCTCTGATGTGGGGAATCAAAAACCCAGCACACCATTTGGGCCACCATCTGTATGAATTCAGTCCACTGCACTTTAAGGGAAAAATGTACAGAAATGGAAATTGGTACCAAAATTTATTTTTCACAGGGAATAAGCCTCGTGAAACAGCCAGGCTAAGATCTCAAACCGGGAACACACACACACACACACACACAAAGATCTGATATTCATAGGGGGTGTTTAAGGAAAGTTTTGATGTGACTTCATAATTCTGCTCAGAGCCCCAAGACATACCAGATGATTATCTATCATCGAAATCTCTGGAAACATGACGTTCCAGATATTTGATGTTGGTCCATCCCCCTTTGAAACAAGGACTACAGAAATGGTGGACGACAAAATGACAAACTTATGATTAAAATAATAATAATTTAAAAAAAAAAAGAACAACCCTTTTAAACCAGCTGTCTCTTCACTTTTAAAACTGTAATCAGCAGTGTACTGAATGAAGCAGGAAAACTTACTAGTATTTTTGGTTTTCAACAAGCTAGAAATGACGAAAGGGAGGCAGACTGTCGGCCGGGTGGGTAGAATTGGCTGAATAGGACTGGCCAGATGCTGCAAGGTGATTAGGTGGCAGGCAGATGGGGGCTGGCTGTGGCTTTTTTCCTGCTTTAATTGGTTAGCCGAAGGCTGCTGCTGGTAGGTTGTAGACATTTGGGAACGTAATACGCTGATTGGTCGGGAATGTGAGGTGGCCGCTGCCGTTTGGGTTAAGGTTGAAGGAGGAGGAGGTTGAGAACGGCATGCTGAGGAACCAATGGGCTGGTGCAACCTGACGACTGGCCATGCCTGGGTCATGTGACAGCACCAGCCAAGCTGATTGCGGCCCGATGATCAGCAGTCACATGATGCTGAAAGAGGACTAGTTGATTGACTCAGAGGGTGGTGAGAAGAGGCATGGTGGTGGCTCTGCAACGGGTTCATTCTTATTAATATAGATGAAAAATAAAAAGCATCCTCAAACAAAAAGAAAAAAAATTGCATCACATTTGGCACTTTTATTCCCCCCAAAATGTATACTTATACTTAGCCTATACTTTTACTGACTGCCTAAATCTGTTTCCCCACACCCATTTTTGCCTTTTTAAAACAGTTAAAATGAGACTGCACAAAAATGTGCGTTTCAAAGGAAGCATTTGTGCCTTAAGTATAACCTAGGTCTTGCAGACCACACTTTAGATGCCTCAGAAACAGAAAGGCAGCCCTCTCTATATTCTGAAATAATGCCCCTTTTCCACTACATGATGGTGAATGACTATCTGTGTGGCTCCTTCCATAAAATGACCATTAATGTCAATGAAGATGAATCTGCAAGCCTTAGGCATTGCAACACCCACAAATATATAATCACCAGAAAAGGTCACAAACACTAGAAATACCTACACTGGAAACCCAAATGCAATTAAAGGGAACTGTACTGTGGGCAAGAAAGTTGAACCGGTAAGTGACCAAGCAAGAATAAAGTGCAGAATAGATTGGTTATCGTGTCTACTGGCCAACAACAACATGTAGGTCACCTGCGTCTGGGTGGTGGGCTACGCCGCCTGTAGTCGTCTCGGTCTCTAGGACGCCTGCTCCATGAAGGGGGAGCGCCTCGAGTGCGGCTACGCTTCTCGCCAGTAGATAACTCCACACGCACCCGACAGCCACACAAAGTCCTGCAAAAGAAAAAAAACACAAAAAAAACAAACAAACAAACACATGAATAGAAAGTATTTTTCCTCGTTTTTCCAATAAAATGACTTACTTAGCACACTTCAGTGGGCTGAATATATCATTTGAATGTCTAAATGTAGTCTAAATGTCTGCTAATGTAACAGATGTGATGACCAATAACATGTTATCATTGTTAAAAGTGTGACTGCATGAGAGGAACTCTCCTTTCTGCAGAATGGGAGCAATGTCAGGAACTTGGAGGAAAGAGTAGTACCGATCCAATAGCAGTACCTTCATTTAAGTAGACTACTCATGTGGATGCAGCGTTTTCAGTAGGAGAAACGTTTCATCATCTTCCACTGAAAACGCCATGTGCAGATAAACAGAATCCACTTTCCTGACCTGGATGATTGAGCATGCATAAACTGATTTGCATAGGTTGCCACCTACCTTCCATCAAGCTCCCGCACGGCATCAGTTGCATCTCTGGGATCTTCGAACTCTACAAAGGCGAAGCCTGGGGGGTTCCTGGCCACCCAAACACTCCGGAGAGGACCATAGTAGCCAAATGCTCTTTCTAACTCTGTCTTGTTTCCATTGTTTCCGAGATTTCCAACGTAGACCTTGCAGTCAAGGGGACAGTCACGATGCATGACTGTATCTGAAAAGTGAGCAGAATAATATTAATGTTTTAGCTCTAAGACAAAGACTGGTAAATGGCCTGTATTTGTATAGCGCTTTACTTAGTCCCTATGGACCCCAAAGCGCTTTACACTACATACACTACAAAGACTGGTCACACTCTCTCTCACTTAGCCATTTACTCACAAACGAATTGAGAGCTTGGCCTACTTCCTGCGCTGGATTTGCAGGTTATGCTAACGGAAACTTAAAAAACAAACAAACAAAAACAGACAGCCAGACGAAGCGAATCCCAAATGCCTTAATTAACTCGTTTGCTTTATATCTCCAACTATATTGTTGCATATTCGACGCTGCATTGTGTTTCGAGGCTAACAGCTTATTTACAGGGAGCTAAAATGGCTGCCGCCTACCGAGGCCTACTCAGCGGTAGCAGCACTCGGCTAGCAGCCGCAGAAATTTATACTATACATTCACATATGTGAAGTAAACTCACAACAGGTCGTTTTACAAACATATAACAACGCAATACATTGAAACGCTACCGTTTTAGGTGTAAATATCAGCTCAGATTATCGATTGTGATCCGGCTAAATTGTGCCTTTTCGTCTTCGGTGGAAAATGGCGTGACGTCAGTGGATTAACAGGATGCCACTTTCGAGAGGGCGGGTTTAATGTCGCCTCCTTCCTTTGCCCCCCTCCCGAACAACAGTTGTCCAAGTTTTGGCTGCCTTTTCACTCTATCCAGTCCTTGTACATGACCTTCAGAGGAATGTTTTGTTTACAGTGTGAATACATTTACCAGAGCTCAAGGAAAAATTATGATACTAACGAGTTACATAGCATAGTTAAATTGATGTAAAGTATTTCTTCAAATGATATTAAGAGAAATATAGATATTTGAACTAATAAAGGTATAAATAAATTGTACTCTGTACAATAAAGCATTTTAGGACTCTTCTCTTGGTTGCTCCCTTAGGGGTCTCCGCCATAGTGGTCATCTGGTCATCTGTCTCCATTTCACCCTATCCCTGGCCTCCAGCCCTCATCATGCCCTACTTCACTACATCCATGAATCTTATCTGTGGTCTTTCTCTTTTTCTACTGCGTTGCACCTTCATCTTCAACATCCCTTGTAAAATATATTCACTATCCCACCTATCCCACGTCCAATCCATCTCAGCCTTGCTTCTCTAACTTTGTGTCCAAACCTCTTCCACCAGCTCCCTACCCTCACTAGTGATTACAATGTTGTCTACAAACATTATAGTCCACATAGACTCCTGTCTGACCTCATCTGTTAGCCTGTCCATCACCCCTCCAAACAAGAAAGGACTACATTGCCGATCCTCTGATGTAATCACCCACCCACCTTAAACCCATCCTTCACTCCTACCATATTATTACTGAGATACTAATGTACAAATGTAATGCATACCGGAAAACAGATTTTTTTCTGTTTTTGAAAAGAGTAAGTTGTGGCTAATACGATAACTTCATTCGCAGTATCACAGAAAAGAAGTGGAAAAATAATAAATAAAACGTGTTATGGTTGTATTTTCTTGGCAAGATATTCCTAAGTTTTTTCTGCCAGTGGTTTTCCAAAATAATAGCTTGATCCACGTATAACTGATACACGTCCAATTTCCTGAGTACAAAGGCTGCTTTACTCCCTGCCAAAACAAATGAGTACACACTGTGTTTATTTACAGTGTGGAATTGGGACATACTTCCTGCTTAGACTACGACTAAAATGTGGGGGAAACTGTAACTGTAAAGTTAAAGTTATATACATCCGCCATATCTCACAAAACCGAAAGTACTATACTATTACGGGATCTAACATGTCAAATTTGGCCAAAAGGGCAATATATATATACATTAAAATATAAATTAAAGGACGTGTTCATCATTCGTTACGTGCTATCCCAGTTACCCTGAACGTAGCTTAACACGCGAGCCGCCCACTCAGTCTGTTAGTAACCGCCCACAAAGTTGGTCAGCCAGGTGACAGGAGAGCCAGCCGGGAAACAGCACGGACCACGTCCCGCCTGCGTTAGGAAGTCGACTACGTAACGATTCACAACCAAATCAAAGTCGACTAGCCAAAACCACCTGCTTAAATCCTGCGTTTATTGCCTGCTTTCACGTGCTTGCAATCTGACAGCCTCTATCCGTCAGCAGTTGCGACGTAACCAGCTAGCAGTTCGAGGACACCCATAACATAACGCTAGCTTCTGACGTTAGAGAAGACTCAACGGTTGGTTGTTGTATTTCTGTCCGGGTAAAGATAGATAAGCCAGCAGCGAGATGTCCGAACCGGTCGGAGAGGCGAAGCTGGAGGTGAAGCAAGCGAGCAAAGAGGTGAAGGAGAGCGAGAACGTAGCGGAAAAATATTCAGCCATGACCGTGAGCAAAAACAGCGAAATAACCATGGGAGAGCTGTCGACTGTCTTCAGCGCTGTGCCCACTCACAAACCGGTTAAAAAGGTAAGTCTGCACCAGGTGTAAGCATAACGGCACCGAGGAGGACCCTTGGATAATAAAACAAACCTCCAAGGCTCTTTTTAGCGCGATAACAGCACTTTATAGGTGCTGTATCTTCTTTGTTTAAGGGTATTTGTCAGACTTAACCTTCTTTTTGCAACGTGAATACATTTTACTAGAGCTCAAAGACTTCTGATTTTAAGAAAATATATATGGTACTAATGAGTTATATATGTCACAGGGGGTTAGGTATCTGTGCACCCATAACAGTCCACACACATTGCTATTGCGTGTGACAAGAGAATTAAAAAGTTGTTTAAACCCACATTAAGTAATTAAAGAGTCACACGTCAAGTCCAAAGAAACTTAAGCATTTTCTGCATGTGTATAATGGCTCACACCTCTATTAATAACTATAAAACTTTATAATTGGGCATTTTTATTCACATATCGCTCGTATTACAAATCCCAAATTTACTACAGTTTCAGCACACTTTCAGCAGCGGCTTCTGACCTGAAATTGCGAAACAAAAGAACCACTTTTTCCTTGTAAAACTTTCAAAAAGTTATTTGACACACTCCAGGAACAAGGAAGAGCTGCGCCTTTCACTTTTGAGGCTGAATGGACAGTGTTTGCACACTCCATATAAGTTACACTGAAGTGGACAAATCACAATGCACAATGCAACAGTTTTTGCATTTGGAAAGCATATAGCTCGACATGGGGCTCGGAGTCTGTCAAATGCAAGAGTCAGCATGCTCAGCCAAGAACATATTAGGCAGACGTTCCTGTTATACTTGACTGTTTCACATCCTCATACTGTTTTTTTTAGGGAGGATCTTTACACTGAAGCATCACTAGCTTGCAAAGTCAGGAGCCAAACATTTGACCCTAAGTTTTTGTATTGTTGAATTCAAAATAGTTGTGCTCAGCTGATATCAAGAAGAATTGGGAAATGTGAACATAAAGGACACTTATCAGCATGTCCTCTATGACAGCACAGTTGAGATTACTGACCTTTTATTTTAAATGTAATGCTTATGTATTCTTACATATTTAGTGTAAAACATTTAAGTTTCAAGCTTACTAATTATTTACAGTTGGAATTAGAGGGATAATGGTGAAGTCTGGGCTTCCTGGAGTTCTGATATCAGAAAGACTGTAATCTCTTTGACAGGCATTTAAAATAAAGCAACAAGTGTGATTAAATCACAGATGGCAAAGAAGAGTATTGTAACACACTTGGGGGGAAAGCACACCCAAAAAGAAGTTTTAAGTTTTCCTTAAAATATTGCCAAATGGTATGTGCTCAGATTCATTTTTTAAATATCTAGCCCTTACTTCACCTTTAACTTTAGGTTCCATGTGGGGAATATACAGACGGATGTGTCTTCCTCCCACTACATAAAACATGACTACAAAAAAAAGGTTTCATTTCCTCTGAAATACATTTTGTTTATCAAATGGCCAGAAATAATAGGAGCATGCACAGAGTCCTGATTAAATATAGTAATACAGACTCAATACCTTTGAGTCCGTGCTAACCACGTACTCAATCATTCTGGTAACCCCCCCCCCCCCCAACAGCTCACATAAAACAGTATGTTTCATTCAGTTGGGCCTTGGGACCCTGAAACCTACACCACCCTACTGAACTATGTGGTGTTTTTCACCTAAATCAAAAGAAGACTGCTCCTCATTGTCTTCTGTTACCATGGTGTTTAGCAGGTATGTGGATGGGGCACCTCAAGTCAAGATAATTAATTGGAATGATGAGAATATTTCATTTACAGTTGTTCTATTCATGTTTTATTTATATAGCGCCAAATCACAAAACATTTGCCTCAAGGTGCGTTTATATCGTAAGGTTAAGACTCAACAATCAGACGACCCCTTGAGAGCTAGCACTTGGCAACTGTGGGAAGAAAAACAAATGGCAAACTGTGGAAGTAAAGCACAGATTAATTGTTATGCATGTATATAATTTATTGTCTAGGGTGATCTTTAAATCTGATACTTGGATACTTGGGTCTGATACTCCAACACATTCCAGAAACTGCTGAGGTGGGGCAATCTCCCTGTCCTCTGTTTGCATTGGAGCACCTTGAGAGTGGAAAATCCCTGTCAACATACGTTTTCTTGTTGCTGCAAAAAAAAGAAAAAATAAATAAAGCCAAAAATACCCCAAACTGTCCAGGCATGAAGTTAGTTACACACAACAAAAATACCAGTCCGGTTTCTTCATCTCGCAGAATTGTGTACCGTTTGCTTTAAAGGGGCAAGGTTAAACCCTTATCGTGCAGAGAAATATTTTATTGGAGGCCAAAAAAAAACCAAACCCCAAGATGAGAGCCTGCAGCACACACAGGGAGTAGGACTGTTTCATAGTTCTGAAAAGTAATCAGTAGGTACAATTCAGGCTTGCACTCATTTCACGTCAGTTGCTTAAATACCACAACAATGTGAGCAAAATGTCACGTTTGGCTTAACACACTGCGCTGGAACCAGAGCTGGAGAGCTTTGTTTATGTTTTAAAAGGTCATATAAGGTGATTTATTTTTTTTTATTTTTTCCTGCCATGTGTACGCCCCTGCAGGGGATCAAATAACACGACAGGGAATTTTTCGACGTCAGAAAAGCCGAGAGTCGATAGTAACAATCGTTACACAAGCACGAGTCAGATGGGGTCATCGAAATCAAAATATGGCTTGAGCAGCTTAATTTTGGAACATCAGTCTTGATGATGCAGTGTCTGCTGGGCTATAGCCAGACATCCATTTTTGGTAATAAACTGAAATGAGCTCACAAATTTGAGGGGGATCTTTATATTGCCAGTAATTTTCTTGGATTCTGCTCCATTCAAATCTATTAAAGTCATTATACTATACAAGAAAGACAAAAACAGCTCTACTCCGGCTCCTGAAGGACTGTAAGAAATTAACATTTAGCTGAGCCACAAGAAAATACACAAAACACTTAAAATGTGTGTGTGCAAATATCCCTGTGTTGGTGTGCGTGTGTGTGTTCCTTGTTTTTTGT